ATAGTTTCCTCAGCTCCATCAGCATGTCTGTTATACCCCATTCCTGAAAGAATGCTTAAAGACTTCCTACCATTAGGTAATGATTCTTCCAAATTACCATCATTTATCTCTGTTAATGGGGTACGTACAAAGGGCCTTCAAGCTGGGAGTGATTAAACCACTATTTAAAAAACATCACTTTGTTTTCTCTGTATTATTGTAGTATCTCTGCCTTATAATATAAAGCACCTTGAGGTGACCACTGTTGTGATTTGGCACAATATAAATAAAATTGAACTGAATTGAGTGTCTCTGCAGGTCAGTGTATGCCAATGACGCCATGCAAAACCGTCAATGAAATCTGGTTTTAGCCTTTATCATCCTTTAATCAAGTTGGTTGAACCTTAAGTGTGTTTATGTAGCAATTGGAAGAGAAAAAGAGTATTTACAAAATGTAGCGTATCCTCACGACACATTATAAGAGTGTGGGAGGGTTTTTATGGCTTAAAATATATATAGAAATAATATAATAAACATGTGGTTTCTACTTGGTGGATTCTCACCGATCACAAGGGGTGTCGGAACGTAACCCCTGGGATAATCAGGGATCTTGGTTCAAGTCCTGATTGGAGTCTTTCAAAGTAGAGTTTGGTTGGTCTCCCTGTGTCTGAATACTTCAGCTTCCTCCCACACTCATCTGACATGCATGTCAGGTTATCTGGCTAAGTGGAAAAACTTGCTGTAGGTGGCAGGTAGAGAAAGTCCTCAAAGAATACAAAATAAGTCCAAGTTTATCAAAAATTAAATTTGACCCCAGCCTTTAATATGTTCTGAGGAAGTTCATTGGACAGTAAAAGTGTGCTTATGTAATAAAAAGCAGAGATTCTGCAATTCTGCCTGATCTGTTAAGGCTAATGCTGAATGTTCAGTTTCATTTCTTCTTAATCGTAAGTTAACATTTCTGTGTCACACGGAAGCAAATACAGGATGTACATTCTTGATGTCACATTTTTGGTCTGTTAGTCATTAAATGCCTGTTGGACTAAACCAGCTTTTCTTACTTTCTTGCTAACTTTCTCTTTGATGTTGACAAAAGTCACAGGTTTCCTACAGAGGTAAAGTTAGTTAATTTCAAAAATAAATTATATGAATACATCTGGGTCCTCTTTATCTGACGATCTCGCAGCTAAACAATTAAACTAACCAAAGAAGTTAATTTTTAAAACCCTTTCCTGCTGTTGGCTGTCAAGCAGGAGACTGTTTTTCCTTTGCCAGTCTGTTGCTACTCATGGTGATCAGTTCCTTATGATTCTCTCGTTGTACTTACTTCGTTTCCTTGAGCTTACAGCTTGCATAGTTTCAACTTTCAATTCAATTCAATAAAACTTTATTGATCCTGAAGGTTGACCCCAAAGGAAATTGGGACAGTTGGCAGTCTTGTGTCGGGTTCTCATCC